GATCTGGGAAGCGTTCCTGGGTGCTGGTCCCCCTGACCAGGTGATCTGGGAAGCGTTCCTGGGTGCTGGTCCCCCTGACCAGGTGATCTGGGAAGTGTTCCTGGGTGCTTTGGCTACCAGTGTCTTCTTGCACTAATAATTTTATTTTTCATTTAGAATTTTCACAATTCAGATAAAGCAATGAAGACAACATTGCTTGGTGATTTTATCATTTTATTACTTTTTTATTTTTATTTTCACAGTTCAAACAAAGCAATGAAGACAACATTGCTTGGTGATTTTATCATTTTATTACCAAATTTGATTCCAAATTTTATTATGGAATGAATGTTAGGTTTATTTCTAACTGATTAGGTGTCATGATGGCATAGTGGTTATATAAAAAGTATCAATATATCTTAGAGAAGCTCACTGCTGGGATTTACTCTATGTAATTTTAGCAAAAATTAAAAAGGATAGATGAATACATAAAAAAATTTCAAAATAAAATTTGGATGATAATTATGTTGGAGTTTATTGCATTATTCTTTCTACTATGATGTTTACTTTAAAATTCCCTAAGAAAAAAATTTAAGTGAAAGATACAATTACAGAAAATAATTTAAAATTATATATAAAGATGGTCAAGGTAACATTAATTTTACAAAGATGATTACTAAATAGCATGTGTAGTATTTACCTTTTTGTTTTTGTTATTTAATTTTACTTTAAAAGAATATATAAATCCACATGAGTAGATAAAAGGCTGTAAGGCCAGGTGCGGTGCCTCACACCTGTAATCTTAGCACTCTGGGAGGCTGAAGTGGGAGAACTTCTTAAGGCCAGGTGTTTAAGCCTGTGCAAGTCAAGGCCCTAGACCAGTGATTTTCAACTGGTGTGCCATGAGAGAATCTTAGGTGTGTTATGAAATTTTTAAAAATATCATTAATTATTATTAATTATTATATTATCATTATTATATTTTTTTACTCTTTCTTTTGATAAACATAATTTAAGTGTGCTGCAGAAGATTAAAGGTTCAACTGTGCCATGAGATTTTTTAAAAAGTTGAAAAACACTGCCTTAGATTCTACCAAAAATAGAAGAAATCATGGCACACATCTGTAGTCCCAGGTACTTGGGAGGCTGAGGCAGGAGGATCGCTTGAGGCCAGGGGGTTTGAGGTTGCTGTGAGCTATGATTTCACCTCTGCACTCTGGCCCAGGTGACAGCAAGACCCTGCCTCAAAAAACAAAACAAACAAACAAACAAAGAAATGATGAATAGGTATAACTTGAGATGTTAATGGAGACACTTTGGGGAGAGTGTAGGCTTACAGAAAAAAATTATTCTTAGTTATAGTCTCTAAACTTTTTATAATTAACCTACATGACTTTTGCTAAAATAATAATAATTTAGGACCCACTTACTTCAGTGCTGGTATTTGCCAAATCTGGGACCCAGGAAATCGCTGAAACTCTGAACCTGAACTTATGGTGCTTATCTTAATTGGTCCCCTCCCACTGAATGCAGGGTCACAGATGGAGTGTCTTGTCTCAGATCTGCAGCCCTGAGACCCTTGGCTTTCGTCCTGACTTGGCAACCCCAGGCATCACTTGTAGAGGGGGAAGGGCAGGGAAGGCAGGGTCTGCCCTGGTAAAGCTCCAGAAGACTTGGAGAAAGAATGCAACTGAGGTGTGGCCTTCTTGTGGCAAAGCCATCGTGAAAGAGCATAAAATGGAGAAATTACGCTGGGGGTTTGTGGGGCAAGACTCATCCCCCCCTTCCTGCTGCCTCTCACCGTGCTCGAGGCCATTTTTGGTTCAAGAATTCAGTCGTCTTTGATCAACACCAGTCCCTCCCAGCCCCCTCCCTGCCCATGCAGTGTCTCAGAGCCACTGTCTGGGCCCTGTCTCGGGCAGGTTGAACCTGTGTCCCATCAGCTCATGCCCCTCTAAGCACAAGACCCTGGCCTGACCTCCCTGACCAGCACTGGCCATCTGTGGCGATGGGTCACAGTGTGAGGGCCAGGCCACAGCAAAGTGGACAGATGGCCATCAAGGGCCTAAGCCACCTGGCAGAGAGAAGGTAGTCAAGAGAGAAGTCAAACAGGGCGGTTAGGGGAGTTGAGAAAAAAGGGGGTTGTGGGGTTTGAGGAACCTCCAGGTGCACAGCAAATGGCTGCTTACTGCCCTCGTCCTCTGGCATTGGAGTGACCTGCAGGAGCATTCAAAGAGGGGATAGAGCAAAGTATCACAAGAATGGAAGAAAAAGTATCCAATGTACGCACCCCTATTATGAAACTAATTTATACCTTTTATATGAAAGCTATAACCCAATAACAGCCTAAGAATAGGGGGAGGAGGGAGGGAGGGGGATTAGAGGAATCACTTCTGAGGTTTATCTTACAAGGGTACAAGTGAATCTTTCTAAGAGTAGAATATGAACGTTTTAACACAATAACTAAGAAAATGACATGAAGGCTATGGTAACCAGTTTGATGGAAGTGTTTCAAAGAGGGGATAGAGACCACTCTAAGGCCAGTCCCGTTATTTTTATTTTTATTTTT